TTGGATACCTACCATAGACAATGAAGAACGGGCTATAACCTGTCGTCAAATTTTTACTGCAGTTGTATGCGAAAACAATAGGCTGGACAAAATCTGACCATTGGTGCCTTGCCTCCGAACAATACGCTGTTAGGGAGTCAGTGATCACCTTTACCAGTCTTTCTGCTTGTCCATTAGCCTTATGGTTATAAGCAGTGGTAAATTTATTTTTGATACCGAGTGCTTTGTTGATTTTAGAGTATACCTCGCTAGTGTAGTTCGAACCACGATCCGAAACAATTTCGTTTGGGATACCGTGTTTCGAAATCACATCATTGATCAGGGCTTTTGCCACTGTATCAGTGGTTTGGTCTTCTATCGAGGTACACACTACAAACTTACTAAAGGCACACACGGTAATCGAAATAAATTTACTTCCGTCCTCACATTGAGGTAACGGTCCCATTATATCTGTGTGAACACGTTCAAAAGGTCTGGTTGGCGTTGGGAAAGTTCCCATTTCTTCGCGAATAATACCTTTTGAAGGTGTTTTCACCTTTTGGCATATTGGACATGTATTGATGTAGGTTACTACATCTTGATACAGGTTCGGCCAATAATACTTCTCTTTTATGCTTTTGTATGTTTTGCCTATTCCTAGATGTGATCCTATGAGTGGATTCTCATGAAATATAGCTACTATGCTAGTTTGCATGTTCTCATCTGGAATAAACAATGATTCCCTGTTGTGTATACTATAATACAAGGAATTGTTATGCAAAGAGAATTTTCCTAATTTGTCCAGAAATTCTTCGGGAACATCCTCTAGTTCGTTATTTAGGAAGTTTATGAGTGAACTATACTTAGAATTTCTTTGACTTAATTGAATTTCTTCGAGAGAATGATTGTGCTTCTAGTGCATTAATGCGGAGTAGTGGGTAGCGACTAAGAAAATCACAAAACGTGTTGTGTTTACCTGCCCTATATTCGATTTTAATATCGTAGGCTTGTAAACAATTTGGTATTTTGCCAATCGTCCCACTAAATCTGCCCTATGCATTAATGACTTGAGAGGTGCGTGATCAGTAATAAGCGTGATTTTCGCGTTTGCTACATAAGGATAGAATTGGTTCAATGCGTAAACTATTGCAAGGGCTTCTAACTCTATTACTGCGTAATTCTTCTCGTGTTTATTCAATGCGCGACTACAGTAAGCTATGGGATGCTCTCCCTGTGTTTTTTGATTAAATTGTAATAAACATGCGCCTAAACCTATGGTGGATGCATCCGTATGTATAATGTACGGTTCTCCAAATGTGGGTTAACTAATACGGGTGCTTCAACTAGAGCTTGTTTCAGAGTAAGAAACGCTTGTTCATGAGAGTCAGTCCATACGAATGGTGTATTTTTGACTAATAGTTATGAAGCGGGGTAGCTATGATTGAAAAACGCGGTAAATAACGTCTAAAATATGATGCTGCTCCTAAAAAAGATTTTATTCCTTTCACGTCTGTTGGACGTGGGATCTTAGCAATGCTAGCAACCTTATTGGGGTTTGGACGAGTACCATTTTTGCTGATGAGTACTCCTAAATACTGAACTTCTGTTTGAAAAAATGAGCATTTCTCTGGTGTTAATTTCATACCAAAGTTTCTGATACGTTGAAAAATTTCTTCTAAGTCGTCAAGGTGTCCACTTACCGATTGACTCGCAATGATAATATCGTCAATATACGCAAAACAACATGATTTCAGTTCACGTATTAAGGCTGTTCGCTACCCTCTGAAATGTAGCTGGGGCACCTTTTAGCCCTTGTGCCATAACAGTGAATTGGTATAATCCCAAAAAAGAAGAGAACGCTGTGCGTTCTTTGTGTTCTCTAATAAGGTATTTGGAAGAAACCACTTTTGAAATCAAGAACTGAATATATTTCTTTCCCACTTACAAGATCTAAAATGTCCTGCATATGCGGAATACAATAGGTTTCAGTTTCAGTTATAGCGTTTATTTGACGATAGTCCACTGTGAAACGCCATTGGTCTTTCTTGGGACCCTTTTTGACTAACACTATTGGGGAAGCAAATTTGCTTGTACTTGGTTCTATTATGCGTGTTCTTAACATTTCTTGGATTTGTCGTTCAATTTCGTTTCGTTTCTCTAAGGGTACCCGGTATGGTCTTTGCTTAGGAGTTGTATGATGGGGTACAAAATTTATACTATGAGTAATGGGACCCGTATATCTGCCAAGATTCCCGTCGTTTCCTACGAAACAGTCTTGATATTTACTTAATAATTTATAAAAATCTTGGAGTTGTGCGTTATCTAAAATAGAACGATTAAGTTGAATTTGATTTTGAATTGTGCTAGACTGTTGTGTACTAAGAAAGTAGGGTAATTCCTTAGCAAAACCCGCCTCCGGTGGGATGTATACCGGAATTTCCTCGTTAAGAGGAGATTCATGAGGAGAGATTCCATCATTGTATACGGAAAATACAGGGTTCCAAAGGGTTTCTACTCCCACAAAAGCTGCTGTTGCTACTTTTGTATTCCTTGGTAAACAAATGGGGGGTTTGAATTAAAAATACGTAGATATACGGTGCCATCAACAT